AGTAGCGTTGAATCCGCGGAATCTATGAAACGCTATTTGTTATGTCCGGCCGGTCTGTCCATTTTGCACCTCAAGAAGTTCATTGTCAGGAAATATGGATTACCCACGACCTATAGGGTCGATGTCATGTATTTGGAGGACATCCTAAGTGATGACTACACGCTTATGGACGTGGCGTACATTTACGACTGGAAAAGGGTATGTCATGCTATGTCTCACACTTTCGCTTCTTTGGCCCTCTTTTCATAATTTGCTGTATTGTCTGTCCTCTTACAAGCTCTCTCTCTCGCTCTCTCTCTCGCTCTCTCTCTCTCTCTCTCTCACTCTCTCTCTCTCTCTCTCTCTCATTCTATGTTAATCTATGGAATATACAGTAGATATAACTTATATGACATGCATTGAAGGGAACGTTGTATACAATGTATGGCAAGCTGTCGCACATTTAGTGTGCTTTCAATTCTATGCACTCTATTGTATGCGTTTGTATTGACAGTTAATGCCTGAGTCTAATGCTTACGTCTATCAGAAGATTGCATTTATTTATTGATTATTTCTCACATTCCTCTCATATTCCTCTCACATCTCTTTCCTCTGTCTTCCTCTCTATGATCTGCCATTCGGTCCAATTGTCTGTCAAATAATAATATATAAACTTATTATCAAATGCTATACATTTGGTTCACTGCTGTTATCCTAATGACCCCCTAATCCCAACCCCAATACAGAGCGATCCGATGCGACTCTTTTATCGCATAAGTGAACGACCGATAAAACGATTGAAGACAACACATCCACTAACCATTGAATCTAAGAGTGGGAGTGGAGGCAGTGTTAACAGTGCTAACAGTGACATAAGTAATGCCAATAACCATAACCACAGTAATAATAGCAAGAAAACGAGTGTCAGTGTGAGTCAGTCGTCCAAACTAGTCGGTGCACAACATCCAGCTTCCAGTCGCACCTCACAGACCACTACATCGACTATCATAATGACAGGTGCGGCTCCAGTGCCTACACCGTCAGCAGCGAAAGCACACAATCCAAGTAATACTCGAAACAATAGTCGTTCAAATGGCGTGACATCAGGCAAGGGATCTACTGTTACGCCCAAACACACGGATACATCGAAAGGCGCCTCAATCCCTACTACACCTCCAGCTATAGCCAAGTCAAAGGCAACTCATATGACTGCCAGTGCTATACAAACAGATGAACCGCCGAAAAAATTGCGAAAGATTTTGCCGGCAAACGACTCAACCCATGCATCGACGCCCAAACCGGTGTCCTCTAAAGCTAACTGTGCCACCACTACCAGTGCATCCAAAGCACAGTCCAGTGCTAATCAGAGCCAATCGAGTCCACTGTCGCCCACATCTATTCGCATTAAGTTGGCCCCACCATCACCACCAACACCTACGCAACCCCAATCATCCTCATCACCACAACCATCACCGGTCGCTAAATCCATTTCCAGTGCTAAGGATATTATGGATACCAATACTAACACTAAGAGTGATGTCAACAGTGAAACCAAACCCACACTATCGCCGACATCTATTCGGATTAAATTACCGCCATTTACACCGACATCAACACAATCATCACCACAGACCACATCCACATCTAGTGCTAAGAGCGGTGTTAACACTAAACCCAAAAGCAAACTATCATCACCCCCTGCCATTCGGATTAAACTGGCCCCACCACCTAAAACACCATTACCTAAACAATCATCGCCAAAACAAACACCATTACCAACACAACCGATACCAACTCCACGATCAGCATCACCTCAAACCACATCCGTATCCAGTGTTAAGAGTGCGACCAATACTAATACCAAACTGTCGTCTCCCCCTCCCATTCGGATTAAACTGGCGCCTCCACCGCCGCCAACACCCCCGCAAGCACCACCACAACATACTACACCACCACCTCCTCCACAATCATCATCACCACCGCAACCATCATCTCAGAGCACATCTGTATCCAGTGCTAAGAGTGTTGTAAATCCTAAACCCAAACTTTCATCACCGCCTGCTATTCGGATTAAACTACCGGCGCCGCCACAAACTTTACCACCAAAACAATCAACGCCAACACCTCCTCGGCAATCATCACCGCAAACCACATCCATATCTACATCTAGTGTTAAGAGTGCGGCAAATACTACCACTAAACCAACGGCTTTCTCATTGGCACCAGAAGTTCAATCAAATAACAAACACAAGGATCTAAAGCAAAGCCAATCAGATACGAAGAAACCGTTATCTGATCCCAAGATTACCACCACAGAAGTGACAACTAGTCCGGTGGCTAATGCTAACGGACCACTGGATCTGTCCATGTCTACCAAAAAGGACGGACAGCCCAAAGTGAATGCAGCGCCCATTCGTGCTATATATGACATTCCGCCCCCAAAACCCAAACAATGTTTATATCCACCGGTTCTCGAGCCGCATAGGAGTCTCTTCTCGACTCCATCGGCACCCAAACCGATGTTCCCATCGTTTAAAGTAACCAGTTCTCAGTCGCAAGACATCCGATCCCCCACCGGATCCCTCTTGCAGACCTCCTCTGCTCTCACACCCAATACTGAGACCAAAAAGTATCGATCGATTGACTCAATCATCGATCGCATCTCCAATAATACGTCGACAGGTAATCACTCCAACAGTTCCCGACACCGGTCTGTATCCCACAGTCATAACACCAGTCATCACAACAATCACAACCAAATGAATTACTCAGTGATTACTCCCGACCCGCGCCGATACACTCCGAAGATAGTGATCCGAAACATTGGTTCCCCTCCTTCGACAACCTCTCACTTTAATTATCCGACGCATCGCTGAATCCATGGATTATATTATTGTTTATTATTTGCTTAAAATGATGTGAATTACCAAGTTCAATACAAATGCATTTACTACAAATCAAATCATTTACTATATTATATTATTTGTTAGAAATTATTGGTTTCGTAATAATTAAATTTAAATATACAAGTGAATTATAAATAATACACAACAAATTAAACGATTCAATAAATATATACAGTATATCTAAAAATACAAATGCTTATGTGTTCAATTATATTTAGTTGTTTAGATTTTAATTATTACAAAAACCAAATGATTTTTTAATTTAAAATTTTAGTCTCAAACAATTGTTCACTTATATATCTGGATATCTGGTTATATATTGATTTTCAAACCACATACTGTATACACATTTAATAACTGTCTTCAAAAATATTCAATACTTGCTTGCACCTATTATTGGTTATCACTTAATTATTTCTAACTCTTTAATGTTAATTAGTTTTATGTGAAGTCAATATAACTTTTTATTTGTAGACTATATTAACAATACAAGTACAGTAATTTTATTTATTAAGTTCTAAGTACAAAACATTAGTGTGATTTAATAAATGTTTTTTCTATATAATATATATGTAATTTTTACCAATAGTTAATATATGTTGCTATTATAATATGCAAATAAAAAAAATTTACCATTAATCTGAATTGTCTTTTTTTAATTAAAATTAAAATATTTTTTTATTAAAAGTTATTTTTATCATAAATAACTGGAATCACCAGTAAGTAAATTAATAATTTTGAACTAGCCACAGTTTTGTGTTATCTTATAGTAATTTTTTAATTTCCATATTTGATAACACGAGTTGACTATCCCAAATACCTATTGTGTAAGATAAGTCTACTTTTAGTAAGTATTGTATTGGTTATATACCGTATTTTCGATACCTTGCATATAGCAACAATAAGTTCAATGTATAGTGACTTATGATGAATTTGCGTACAATTAAATGGTTAGTAATGAACGCATGGATTAACAGTTTAATCCATAATTGTATGAGTTTTGGTTGAGAGTGCGAGCAGACAAATAACGCACTTTTGGACATCGGGTCCATATCTGATGGAAAGGGAGGCAATAATGAGAACATTTTCGTGTATAACATCTACAAAAAGTGACACAAATATGTTCAATGACTTTCATGTAACAAAAAAGTATGTTTGCTTGACTGACAGACCGAGAACGCCGTCCAAACACTGCTCTTAACGTTATTGCAATCCAACTGATAATATACTCAGACTTCTAAAGCACATCTGAAAAGAGTACCCAAAATATATCCACAATATATTGCCTACCATTGCAACCATTGCAGCCGTTTTCCAGTCCATTCATCTCTATTCCTATTGAGCTTATGGTTTGACGCAAATATATATTTTTAAAAGTCTGCATCTCTTCCATCGCTTTGTCTATTAAACACAGATAACTATCGCTTGATTTCATTTCAACGTTCATTAATATATTCCTTTAATTTATAGCATACAGTAAGGCTTTATTCACTGAAAGTCTTATTCATTTCTAATTAGATTCAATTAAGTTTATTGTTATTTTTATGGACATCCATTGAATAGAATAAAGAATAAGTTATGAATTATATCTTTATATATCTTATAATCTGTAGAGCATTCTCAGAGCAATTTCATCTGAATTTGATTGTATAGAGCCGTAAGCTGTTGGCTATAATTCCATAATAATGTTAATTAGAAACTCGAAAATTTCGTCAAAGAAAGTTTCGTAACAATACTTTCTCTCAATTACTTATCGACCGGTTTTTCATTTCAAACACATCTTTATTCGAGCGTTCATTTTAATAATACAAAGACTTTGATATCTGTCCTCTAAATATCAAATACCTTCGAAAAGAGCTTTTTAAATGCATTCACAATGAAATTTATCTTTTTCTTAAGCCCATGGATGTGTTGAATGAAAGTTATTTCACGAAAAACAACTCCGATATTATGGGTGAGGGCGGGGTCTCTGTTTAGTTACATGTTTTACAAGTATTCAAATTATAGGAATCAATAGTTTATTCACTAATTTTTTAAGTTATCTATTCGTGTGTGAGTCAGCCCAAGGTCTTTCACTTACGAATGGCATTCGGGGGTATATTTTGCCAAATCTTTAAATCTTCGCAAATGATAAAAATGATGTTTAAATCTAATGCGAGTTTTATGAACAAAAAATTCAAATATCGATTATTTCATAAAACATCAAAACTGCTTACGAATAGACGCATCACAATGAAGTGACAACAGATTTATTCAAAAAACGTCGGAAAATGTTTATTTTGGATACAATTCAATCATTGATGAGATGTAGACGTGAACACAGAAATTTATTTCCAAAGAATGTGCTATTTATAGACACGTTTGTTACAATTATATCTCTCAAGGAGTTTACACGAACTGAACTGTTTAAAAAAGTAGTTTTTAAGTGAAAATATTGTAAGTTTTACACTTTAGGATCTTACAAAGAGACTATTTAAGTAACTAATAAAGGATTATTTGAAGTTACTGAAAAGTTAGTATGCTATGTAGCAATTAGTATAGAAGCAAATTATAACATTTTTACTTGTACATATGTGACAAACTAGATAGTATGCTAGAAACAATGCTTTCGTAATGTATACAGTATATTATATAATGTATATTGACAATTTGCAACTAGAGTTGATATTTTACTGCTTAAAATACAATTTAGTAAGTCTTACCTTTGATAATTGGGGTTAATTTAAGCTTAACTTGTTGACCGAGAATATAGTAATTAGAAATAAGGTTTAAATCTACTATCATATAAATTAAGGAATAATTATTTATACATTATTTATTAATATACTGAACCTGTAGACTACGATGATGTTATACAATTTATACAATTATCTTAAATAACTTTATTTAATTAAGTTTGTTGTAAGAAACATTCATTTGATTATAGATTTACCCTTATTTTTCAGTAACTCTGAAAACTATTATCATTATTTCTACCACATTACCTAAAAACTATTTAATTACTAAATCTATACTAACTATTTAAGTCATTTGTTTAAATTTAATTTGGTTATAGATTTATTAGTTACACTAAGTTTGGTTTACAATTTAGTTTCCTTTAATAGTAGACATAATGTTAAGTCTTAACGTTAAGTATTTAATCTAATACTTTGTTTTCTATTAGCACGATAATATGTGTGCCACGATAATACAGTATATAACAATGTACTTATTAAAATTTTAAGTCAATAATTTGTTGATAAAATGACATAATTTAACAAGCACTGCAAACACCAGTCAATGCCTTAAGCATTACTGCAGACATAGTTTCTCATTATAAAGAGATGCCATAAAAATCACGCTTTGCTTAACGTATCGTAAAGTATGGGATAAAGTCTTACTTCATAAAAGCGTATTATTTTTTAGCAAGACTCAAAAATATTGCAAATTCTCATTAATAATAAATTAATAAAATACTATTTATCATTCTATTAATACAATATACTAATATTTGTATAAATATTGCAAAAAACACAATAAAATAATCATTTCAGTGAACCCCTCGATAATTGAGGAGAAATTTTTGAAATTCATTCATTCATTCATTGAAGTGTATGCCAGCGATATATGGGTACGCGTGCGCACTGGTAGGCATTGGTAGAGTAGGTTTTGACAGCGAGAGAGAGAGAGAGCGAGAGAGAGAGAGAGAGCGAGAGAGAGAGAGAGCGAGAGAGAGCGAGAGAGAGAACTGTAGAGAAGTTGAATTGGCGTTTGGTTTGTCGTTAGTATTGTTGAGGACCTCCTGGGATGTAATACCATCTCAGAAGTGATACCACCAAAGCTGCCTTTCCATACACTCTCAGCGCTATACTCTCGTCGAGTCCACTCTCTATGGCAAACACTTCCGCTAAATATTTTTATTTTTGCTTTTGTTTGTTCAAACACTTGACGAAAGTTATGATTTTGAATTTTTTCTAATTGAGTTCATAACTCAACTTATGAAAGAGTGGCACCAAATAAGGCCTGAACTCTATAATTATGGTTTTGGTTGACCACAGACTCTACATCACAGATGTATGCAAATGACAGATAGGGATATATAGGCATCATTTGCCAATTGAGTGCTTTTCACAGACTTTTGTGGCAAAAGTTGGTCGCAATTGGAGACGACGTTCAGCAATACGTTGAGGGGAGAGAAACAAAAGTTTTCAATATTTTCTGATGCATTGCCAGTGAGTGTGTGGAGCAGACATAGACAGCACAGACACCTGCCTTTATTCTCACTCATAGATACGCTTTTCCAGTGCCTACAGGGCTATACATCTCTATATTTAATGCATTACTTATTATTTGCCCAACACTACCACGGGTTCGCTTTAATATACCAGACCTTAGCACGTGATTCAATTCAATTAATGCTATTATAGGAAACATTTGTGACGTTTTCCTTCTCTCAATGTCTAACTGATGGCACGAATCCAAATCAAAACCCAAATGAGTCTCACTTTTTAAATGACTGATAATAAAGCAGTTCTCCTTTCCAGACAATCTAATAGTTGTGACCAAACTATTAGACTGTTAATGCAAAGCAATACAAAGTCTCATCAAATCGTTGATAAACTTTAGTATTGAAATGATTGAGGAATGCCTTCGAGGTAATGGTGTTTTGGCAACTCGGCTCACAAACACACAAATTGGTCAAAAGTACCACAACGTGCTCTCTCTCTCTCTCTCTCTCTCTCTTCTCTCTCTCAGCACATAAATGAATATAACTTGACATCCCTTTCCCTTTACTGGTGGTGTGTTTGGGCTTATTTGGAGATTTGGTAAGAAAAACATGAGTTGAGAAGTGACAGGGAGTTGTGCACCCCTTATGCCCCCCACTGCAGGACTCCTAAACTGCTTATCCGAAACTCCCATTTCATAGGAATTGATGTGAAATGAGTGTTGCAAATGACAAACAACTGCAAGACTGCAACTGTTCGGCCATTTCATCGATATATGAAATTATGAATTGAAATTAA